CAGTTTCGTGTGTGTGTGTGTGTGTGTGAGAATGTAAAGTGCAAGTTTATTTCTTCCCTTCAACGTTTACATTTAGACAGATGCAAACCAACTGTGTTTACACTGATGCTTCACCAATAATGGGATTTTGCTCAAGAAATATGTGATTGTCCACATTCTCGGCCATATTAACAGCACGTTTAAAAGCAGCTGCCGGTCGGTCAGACAGACCTTGGGTACCAAACTGACCTAGCTGCATGTTTAGCTCCACAAAAGTGTTATTTTGCCTCTTTAAATCAGCATTGTGGGATACAGTGTTCTGCATGGCATACTAAAATATACTGCACTTTTTGGTATTGAATGTGTACAGAAAACATGTATAAACTACATACTGCAGAAATATAAATTTTTGTTCAAGGCCTACAGCTTAGAAGCCTGTGAAAATAAATAAGGCTGTTTTTAATGATTGCATACTTGCATGATTCCAGCATTTCACCATTAATAGTTTATTTTCAAATTCTTGCAGCCTTGATTAGGTGTGTGTTTGGCAGGCTGTCAGTCATCAGGCTCGGAGGCTCTGCAAGGACTAAAGGATGCTCTGACTGATCCATTGCGCTGAGGTTCAGTCCTGGCAATTTGTAAATGCACCACCCTTCCAAAGGCTGTACATTTAATGTTAATAAAAATGTTAAACCCACAAAAAGTTTACTTTCCAAATTGTCACTTTTTTTTTTGTTTTTATACTATGTAAATAAAGCTGAATTTTCTCAGACCAACATGCCACTTGAATGGAAGAAATATGTCTTTATGATGGTTCTTGCCATTTGATGATAGTGCGGTTTAGTGCAATCTTCTAATACTGTAGAAATGGATGTAAAGTAGTCTGTGTCGTGACTTTCTGTAGAAATAGGAGTAATATGCAGTTTCGGACATGGTTCTACTTAAGGCAGTGTTTCTCAACCCTTGTCCTGGGCGCCCCCCAGCACTGCACATTTTGGGTCTCCCTAATCAAACACCTGATTCAACTCATTAGCTCATTAAAAGAAACTCCAGGACCTGAAATAGGTGTGTCAGATAAGGGAGACATACAAAATATGCAGTGTTGGGGGGCGCTCAGGACCAGGGTTGAGAAACACTGACTTAGGGGAAAAAAATAAAATGAATCCACTATTCTGAAGCTGCCATGGACTACGCTGACGAGTGATGCAGAAGTATTCAAAGTGAAGCTTACACCGGCGAAGCACCTGAGAGAAAACTGATTTCACAGTAAATTATCTCATTTTCAGCAGTAAGTAAAAAAGTGTTTTAAAGCTTTTGTAGAACATCAGTTATGTATGATACAAGAACAGTAAAGCCTGTAGATAGGGAGTATGTGTTATTTAAGAAAAATATAATGGTATTTTCATGACAATTTTTTTCTTTCTTCAAACCTAGGGGGCGTGGCTTCATTCCTCTAGTTCCTCTGATCTGAACATCAAATCCTTTGTTTTTCCATCAAATGTATTCTAACTAGTTGGTTGAATAAAAATATGTGGACTTTATATTTAAAAACGACCAAGTTAGCATCAGCTAACAATAGCTATTTTTCAAATAGGTTATTATAATTTTGTAATTCATGATTATATTCTTTTAATTTCAAGTTAAAACTGCCTGTACTCTGATTTTGCTGTAAATGCATAAAGCAAATTGCTTTGTCAGACTGGGGGCATTTTACCCCACCTGTAGGGCAAAACGCCCCCTTGGTAGTACAAATGTAATTTTTGTTAAAAATCTAACATGAAAACTTTGGACATTTTTCATACTTGATTTATAATTAATTTCATAATTCGATAACTATTCTGGACACGTTTAACTTTTATTTCACAGAAAGAAATTACACAGTCCTTAAGGGGGGGCGTTTCCCCCACTCTGCCCTATCTGAGGAACAATGACTCCATCTGTTGGTTAAAGATCTCACCGCTACGTTCACTGTGCAGGAATCATATTAAATGGGTCATATGATGTTGCTGAAAAGAACATTATTTTGTGTATTAGGTGTAATGAAATGTGTTTATGCGGTTTAAGGTTCAAAAAACACATTATTTTCCACATACTGTACATTATTGTTTCTCCTCTATGCCCCGCCTTTCTGAAACGCATCGATTTTTACAAAGCTCATCGGTCTGAAAAAGCAAGGTGTGCTCTGATTGGCCAGCTATCCAGTGCGTTGTGATTGGCCGAATACCTCAAGCGTGAGACAGAAATGTTACGCCCCTCACATACTGTTGATGCCCTGTCTGGCCGGAGCGACG